TTCTAATTCACACAGACTTGGTTACTTTATCTGATCTAATTTAGATAGCATAATTATTACTGTATCAGTTGCCATGGCATTTTTGCCAACATTTCACTGGCGTTTTTGTGTCGGTCTTGTTAGTGCCATTCTTACTGATGATGCTGGAAGAGCTGGAGTCGCTTTGAGAATTTCACATGAAATTGCAAACTTAACAATTAAATTATTTATTTTAATTTTATTTTCATTTATTTGTTTGTTCAATTGCATTATATGACCTCTTCATTATGAAATTTCTCTTCAGCCTCCGAAAAGCACTCTTTTGGTGTCGCCACAGCCGCACTGGCTGCTGCGGACACTGGCAATCAGAGCTTGGTCGACGGGGGGGCTGTGACGACTGGCGGTGTCGGCGCTGGTATTGGGGTTGGTGAGCCCGACTATGTCTGCTCCATCGGAGCTGGAGTTGCGGTCTCTTTGGCTAGCAACTCGGCGTCTTCTGCTGCCAGAATGGTCGAAATTGGCAGCGCTAGCCTTGGCGGCAGTCTGTCAGGTGAACAAGTTGACTTTTTGTTCACTTTGGATCAGGGCTCGGCAGCTGACCGTCACGGCACATCGATGGGCTACCGCTCATCTCCTCGAGATCACCAGTCTGTGGAACATTGGTAGGTCTGGACATTTCGCCAGGACCGAAATGCAACATCTTCAATTATCTGCTTCCACTGGGGTGCTAATAATCATCGGTGCTAAGTAATGGCAAGGCTGACTTTAGCCCATTCAGGAAATCACTTTTTAATGGAACACATTTTTTGTCGGATTTCCCTTTAGCCTCTGACCTTAGGCCAGCCTAATGAGGCCGAGTGAGAATTTCCCTACAATTGAGAGACTGAATGCATGAAGCTGCCGAAATGGCTTAGTTTTCTATCAATTTTCGTCCGTCATTTTATGATCATTTTTCATAAATTAAAAACCGAGTGAAAATCTAGTAAAAATCTCTCATGATGTCTCGACACTATGCGTTACTTCATCAATTCTGCTGCCCAGTCCCGAACTAGCATACAAATGCCTCTTGATTTTGAACAAAAACTCCATTCGTAGACTTTGGTTCCTTCGCAATCTATTTTCGCCGTATAGAACTAGTTTGACCTCTTTTTCGTAATTTTCTCGTGGCGGCAGGGCTACTTCAATAAACTTAACCCGTATTGCGTCCACTGTTATTTTCGTTATGTCTTCTTTCACCGTCGAACTGTTGATACTCATCGCCCAACTCTACTTCATTAAGCCAATTTTCCCATCTACACTTCTTTTTATCCTCATTTGTCCCAATACAACCCAAATATGCTGCCTTTTAAGTAGGTTTAGTGCGTTTTAATCACCTTCTCCACCGGTCTCTCATTCCATCTGCTCAGTCTCCCGATCCCATTTTGCTCAATCCATTTCGGCTGGACTCTTCTTGCCTTGGAAATCCCACCCTCTTAAAACTGGTTGTCTATTAACTCTCCATCCAGTCCACCATATCGTTAATGGTATAGGATTTATTCACATCCCCGGACCCTAATGTATGCTGGTATATGTATGATTTTCTCACCCTAGGATGAATCAGACAATTCGCACATTTGCTCTTAGAATCCTCATCTCCCAATTCCCATATTCTTCCGCCTTCACCCTCCTCTTGCTTCCTGGCGTTTTAGAAAATTTGCAATTTCTGTTCAAACTAATCTTGATGTTCACCTTCACTCATTCCGACGTGTATACACGCTTTGTTAAATCTCAGTATCAAACTTGGACCACAAGGTGAAGCGTATAGGGCACGAATTTATTTTAAGATTCTCTTTAGCATATCTTCTTTATACCCTTTTATTCATCCTTTATACACATTAACACTTTCGAAGAGCGCAGGGTAGATTGACACGTTCCTCAAGTTGACCTCGAGGTCCCATCTATTCCGTCTACCTCTGCTGGGTCGCCGATAGGGTTACTGCCAGAATATACAACGGGTTTTGCCCAAATAACCAATCTGTACGTTTCTACAACAAAGTTATATTTACTGTACATTTGATATGCATACCTATTATTGGTGTATTAAGGCATATTATTTTTACTTTCTATCTCCATCGTTCATACTACCTTTTTTGTCCGGATCATTTGGTCTTATTTTCATCTCATGAATGGAGCTCAAGTAGCTGAACGAGTGCTCTGCCTAACGTTTAGACCGAGAAAGTCCCCTGGAATGAAAGGTACCACAGCTTGACTTCTTCATAGTGCATACAGCCTCATGAAAGCAGTCAATAAAGCAGACAAGCACGCTAGTTCATTTTTCTGTGTTTGGACTGGCAAAGGCTAAAACAGGATTGCTGGAGTATGAATGTGCCGAAATCCATCTACTACTTTGGTAGCTAAAATGGCAAGACTCGAGCGATTCCGAAGAGAAAATGTTGGAAGAATGACAAAAAGATTAGCCAGGCCATACTCTTAACATTCCTCCAGACTATCTTGAATGCCTACCTGTGTTTGAGGGATATTTTAAACAATCAAAATCGGCTTGTTAGTGATGATTGTAAGCTAATATCAACTTGTTCCGTGGAATCTCACTGTGCAACTTATTCAAAACCTTTTTATCGTGGACTTTAGGTAGCATCTTTGTCACAACTTTTGTTCTTACGAAGTCTCCGATAAGCGTACCAAATATTGCACCCTCTGCCACTTTGTCATATATTCTCCCAGCATCAGACCGCTGCAAAGCACAGTCATCCCAATAAATTTTAAGATAACATATTGTCTTGATTGTAAAATCCGATGATGGAAGAAAACATAACAACAAGGGGACGCAGACGAGATCCATTCTTCGAAGTCTCCTTGATGGCGATACTAAGTTGTAAATTGGGCTCGAGTCAGCGAAAGAAGACTGCAACCTCGCCAAGGGCCACATTATATCATCCTTCATATTTATTACTAAAGTTGGACATTTAAAAAATGGAAACAATTATGCACCTCTAAATAGGCCAAGTTTGACAAGTTGGTTTTCCCAGCTGCCACATTACCACTAGCTGGCACTTGTTTATATTTTTCTGAACATATTCTTTTTTATTTGCCCATTTAGCGACAAGCCTCTCCGTCAGAACCCAGCTAAAGGTCAGTTCAGCCATTTTATTTTGCATAAAATGTGAAGCAAATAATAAAAATTAATTGAATATCGTTCTTGATATAAGAATCACGATTATTGACTATTATTAGTCTTTGTTATTTACCTCTATGGTACTTGATTTTGCCTTCCCCGCAAAAAGCAGAAAATTTTATTTGAAAGTAGAAATAAAATCATTTTAGTGTTGGCTATAGCTCGTTTTCGCAACTTGGTCGGAGCATCAGGGCGATCTTGTGGAACATACCTAGTCCTGTGTCTCCTGCGCTAGCATTCGTGATTTCCAACATAGGATCATTGACTTTGTGCATTCCCAAACTTTGCTGGTCTGATGCTGGAAACCACAAATCCTATGGCAGTGGGTACAGGACTAGGAACATTCCACAAGGTCGCCCCGACCGAGTTGGGAAAACGAGGTCGAACCAACACTATAAAGTTGATGGAGATTGCGATCAAACATCTTGGTCTTCATATCTATGATCTAATAAGATCTTTTTTCGGAAAGATCGTCATCACAACTGGCTTGATTGCCCAATTGTTGGCGATGGAAGCCGGTTGCAGCTTCACTTTACTAGCATTGTACTCTCTCTTCTTAATTTTATTTATCTCTAAAGTTTAAATTTCGCTAAACTTTTGCTTGTTTTCATTTTTGATATATCCCCAGGAGTTCGGCTTTTTGTGTGACATTTCTTCCATCCCGTTGGTCTTTTCGTCGAATACAAATTAACTTATGCGAATCCTCTGGCTTATCTGAGCTAATGAAATATGTCTGAGGGACAATTTTTACACTATTACATGGCTCAATGTTGAGATAAGATTTCATCTATGTCAGCTATTTTCTAAGTCTTTTGAGACTGTATATCCTAAAAGGTGCACTTTTGATTGGACTATGGAATTTATGCCACTTGGCAGATAGTATCGGAACAGGTTTCAATTCGTGCAGCTATTTTAAGCTAACGAATCCGTCTAGGGCGTGAAAGACGAAAGCTCAGTTCACGTTGGCGTATTTTTCGCGTTGTTTCGCAAAAGGAATGGAAGGCTCCCGATGGGAGCCTCGTAGTAATAACCAGAGATTTATGCGAATATGTCATTGGCACACCATATTGAGTCATTTTCTGTATTTATTTAGTGGCTTGGGATAATGTATCGATGATCTTTTTGCATAAATCTACTATTACAGGTGTCAGGCTTCAGGTGAGACCAATTTACGAACCTCTTCCAATTGCATCTTTAAACAAAATTAAATTTACGCCAATCTCAATTTATTAAGGGATTCCTTGTAACTTGGCTTCTCTCGTCTCAAAAGATCAACGCATCTTCGCCAAACAACAGAACAATGTTGTTATTGAGGGATGCGTCAACCAAGTGCTCCCAGATGACCCAAAATGCAGCTGATCAAGAGGGATCTGTTGCTGTCTTTTGATGTGATCGACATACCCGAATCTTTTGATCCAACACTTGTAATCGCATGCACTCATCGGTACCCTCAAAAAGGATTCGGAGTCAAGTCGTGTGCGTCAAGTGCCAACGTCACCACTAACGCATACCACGAGTGTCAGTGTATGATATGGTAGTTGGGACTTTCAAGGCAAGCCAAATTTGTCCTAATTCGAGTTTTGCAGTGGACCAAAGATAAAAAATAAACAGGAATTGTATACATATAAGCAGGTTTCGAGACTGTCAATATCGCCCGTTTAAGGTGTTTTAAGGACTAATAGTTGAGTTTTATCACAATGTCATTAAATTTCCTTTAGCTTTGTTTTGCAGCAGATTATCTTATCCAGTGTGGACTGTCGTCTCCATCTCGCATTGCTAGACCTAGTCGCCTGATTGTGGTAAAAGTAAAATCTCTCTTTGTTAATAGGCCTAAGCAATCTGGGCTATGACCCATTGGCACTCGACATTCGTCGATCTTGAATCAGCATTTCGCATTCCTCCTCCTTTCCTAGACATGTTGGCTTGGCTCAAGGCCGATGATGTCGACGACATTGCCACTTTGGATACCAACGCTCTGCCCAACGAGGCTTTTCCCTCTCGCCACCCGATCGAGTTGAACCAGGACGCTCTTGTCTGTCTCAACGACTCCCGACGGCCCCCGAGGCACTCACAACAGCCTGTCCATGCACAGACTTCGTCTCATCTGCCACATGCCGCGGCCACAGGCGACTGGCAACCAGGGCCGGCAGAGCCGCACGCAAAGCCGCTGGCCTCTTCGGCGGTCGTGCCGGTGTTGGTGTCCGGAGCTGTACCATCCTCAGCTCTGGCTCCTCAGTTGTCCACACCGCCGGCCGCCACCGCCACTTTTCCCACCATCAGCGTTCTCTCCGGCCAACTGCGTCCGACCGCCGTCTCCGTCGTCTCGGTCGTCTCGTCGGCCATGACAGCGCAACAGGCCGCCGGCCCGACGACTGCTGTCGCCAACAGCAGACTCTCCTGGCCGTCGCATCACTCCTCGAGGGAGCGCGAGACGGCGATCGGAGAAGCCACGATCGGAGAGCAACTACCGCCCGGCTCGACGATCGGCATTCAGCCGGCTCAGGTCGGTCTCGTGGTGGCGGTCAAGACCAGCGGGAGACCGCAGCAGCCAGCGACAAATCCTCTCGACGGGTAGGCGAAGACTGGGTGATCTGGCAACACTTGTTTGGTGCAACTCTCAGCTGAGTTTAACTGGGCGCGGATGGATGAGTCTCGAAAGCTCAATTGCCGAGGAACTTTTTTATGAAGAAAAACTGGCTTTTAAAGAATACCTTAATGTTATATTGTGGCATGATTTTCCATTTCGAAGGAAATTTCGGATGGAAGGAATTAGAATTGTGGTATCAATAGAAACGGAAGAAGGATTGTCGCGTAGGGAAGACTGTTGAATTGTACATAATCCTGCCAGCTCGATGAAAATGAGCTGATCTTTCTTCTGTATGCTTCAGGAAGTAGAGCAGAAATAGACTAAGCCAAGAGAAGAGGTGGCCGGCTGCAATCCTAGTCGCTTTTTATACACC